GTGTGTGTGTGTGTCCGTGTGTGTGTGTGTGTGTCTGTGTGTGTGTGTGTGTCTGTGTGTGTGTCCGTGACTTAGAGTCACAGAGTCACAGCTATTCATCTCCCTGGGCAGCACAACCCGGAGCTCAGGAACAGATTTTCCTCCAGGTTTTCTGAGCGTCCCTCTCTTCTCCAGGGGGAAAACGGGTCAGGCCCTCTTGGCGGAGAGTTGTAGACGGTCCCACTCCCACATGTGCAGCCGGGGTGCGTGCCAAGGACTCAGATGAATGGGAGAGGAGAGCCCAGGAAATGGGCAAAGAGGGGTTCCCACACAGGAGGCCCAGCTTCAAGAGCCCTAGCAGAGGACAGTGCCCACTGACCAGGCCCATGGGAGAGGAGGGGGTTTTCATTTGAGTCCAGAAGCTTCTCGCGGTGACTTCGTCCAGCGCTGGCCCACAGGATCCCGTTGCTGTCCCACCTGCTCTCAGGGGGGAGGGGTGGGATCTATCGGGGAGCACAGCCAGGGTCATGTTCTCCACTGAGCTTCCTGACCCAGGGCTTCTGGGAAATTGCCGGAACACACCCCGTCCCTCGCAGCTGCACACTAGCCTGACTCCCACCAACTCTGCGTCTCTCGTGAGCTCCCTGGGTACCTGGATGGCAGCTCCTGGGGACCTTGGGGTCAGATGGTGCTGGGTTTGAATCCTGCCTCCCCCTCCCTGCCTGAGCTGTCATGGGCAGGCCATCCCCCTTCTGGAGAAGGGAAAGAGCTCTCTCCCAGGGCTGCTGTGGGAGGCAGGAGGGTGTCTGAGAGATGCTTAACTGGGAACCCCAGGGGACCTCCCAGTGTGCAGGCTCTAAATCCCAGGCCGGGTGGCAGAGCTGCGGCTGGGCTTTGGCTAACCCACTCCTCGGGTCTGGCTGTCCTGTGCAAGGGGCCACTGGAGCCCTTGGCTTGCAGGACCTTCACTGTCGCCACCCCTTGTCTCACAAGTGACCTGGCGAGAGCTTTCACTGACACACTTGGGTACCTGCCTTGCATCCCCTAGCCAGGTCAGCCACCCCAGCAGGAGCAGGAGCTAGTGCTGGGAACCAGGGGAGGGCGAGCTGCCGGCCACCTGGAGGCAGGAGAGCCCACCTCCGGCATGGGCCTGCTGTGCATCTCTAGAAAGACCCGTCATCCCCAGCCTGGGGACTCTGGACCCAGGGTTGAGAGCAGGAGAGGAGGGGGAGTGAGCAGAAACAGGCCTCCATCTGGATGGGACAGGCCGACGACTTGGAGAAGGACCAGTGGCCAGGGCAAGCCGCCCAATGGACACACCGGGCCCGTTTTAGGTTTGCATTCCGAGGGCGAGACAGGGTGGAAACGCAGCCAAGGGAAATTAATTAGAGCAGAATAACTTTCCCATGTTTTCCTGTGCAAATGGAGCCAAGGCCAGGGAGCTCTGCGGTGGGGGCTGACTGTGCTGGGGAGCGTCGGGCGCTTGTGATTTCAGGAAGGAACAGCCGAGTGGGAGTCGGGAGAGGCACTGCACTGCCAGCCCAGCCCGGAGAGGGGGTCCTGCAGCCAAGAGGCCCAGTGACAGGGAGCACTGAGCCTGAGACCCCAAGAGAGCCCCAATCTCATCACACAGTGAATCATCTGCACGGCCGCCAACGGAGACAAGGGACACCGTTCCCACCCTCAACCACGTCGAAGTCCTCACCCCCTTGCCTCTGGACGTGACCTCACATGGACCCGGGGTCTTTGCAGATGTCATGAGAAGCCACCGTCAGGTCAGCAGGGAACAGGTTTGGGGATGGGTCCAATCTGACTGAAGTCCTTACAGAGGGGGACACAGACCTGCTGGAGGGGGGACCTCATGATGCCAGAGGTGGAGGCCAGAGTGGCACCTCCAGAACCCAGGACAGGCAGGGCCACCACCAAACCACGAGGCCAGGGAGAGGCCTGAGCTGGGCGCCCTCGGGAGCCAGCCCTGCCCGCAGGTGACCCCCGCTTCTAAGCCCCAGTCTGTGTGACAATAGACGGATGTCCTTTGGGTCCCCAGTTTGTGGCCCCTTGTTTCAGCAGCGCGGGAAACTCACCCGCTCCCTGGAGGGCACAGGAGGCACGTGAGCAGGAGGACGGAGGAGAGAGCGGGCGGAGGTGGGGTCGAGGTCCAGGGGGGCAGCGAGCTGGGGCCAAGGCGGGGAGAGCTCGGGCCTGAGATGAGGGCCAGCGGGGCCTGGGCAGGGGAGCCAGGGGCCAGGGGAGAGGAGCCTGGAGAGGTCGGGCCCCCAAATGGCCAGCTCACTCAGAGCGTGAGAGGCCGGTCCCCGCTGGCTCCACTCTAAGGTGCACACAGGCCGGGCTGGCTCAGCCGAGGGCAGCACCCGCTGGACCTCCCACAGGACGCCCCAGGCCACGGGGGAGGTGCAGGGGCTCCCCTCTGTCTGTCGTCTCTCTCCACGAGTCACCGCTGCTTCGTGGCTTCTCGCGGCCCTGTGACGGCTCCCAGCCCTGTGGTCAGAGGCCCTCCACTGGGTCCAGCCTGCTGGTGGGCCTGCTGCGGTCTCAGCGAGGCTGCGGAGACTGCACCCGCAAACCCCTCTCGATGTTGGCAGGACCCTGTCCCGTGGGGGTAGGACTGAGGTCCCCGTCTTCTCCCGGGCTGTCACTCAGGTCCTAGAGGACCAACCCCTCCATGTGCCCCTCTGCGTGCCCCCTCCTGTGGTCACTCCATCTTCAAAGCCAGCCGTGGAGCCCATCATGCCCTGCCCTTCTGGTGCTCTGCTCCTTTCCAGGTCACCTGAGCGGCCCCCCAGATGGCCTGTCCTTGTGAAGTCCACTGTGCCATGTGACTCTCCTGCAGGGCACAGACACTGGCGCTCCTCAGAGTCCAGCCCTCCCCGCCAGGTCCTGCTCTCGCTGGCATTGGGCGATGATGGCTGTAGCCTGACCCCTCCTCTGGGTCTCCTCTAGGCCGAGGGCCAGGGCTCTGGGAGCTGGTGCCCGACAGGCACAGAGCAGGTGGAAGGGCCTGGAGCCACGGCCAGGAGAGCTTGGCGGAGCTCCCTGACCGCTAAGTGCAGGCCAGGGACCTCAGGGGGGAGGCAGAGAGGGAGGAACACAGCCTGGAAGGGAGCGGGAGGGAGCCCTGGCCAGGAGGGGCTGCCCACAGGGAGGAGGCGCAGCACACGCCCGCGCCTTCCCTTCCCTCCCTTGGCCCTGACATCATCCCACCCTGGGGGCAGCCTCATCCGCTAGAGTGACTCCATCACTGGGACCAGGCCTCCCCCGGTCATCAGCCTTTGCCCCTCAGAGGCCACCCTCAGCCAAGCATGACCCAGGCCCCGGGAGCATCTGGGCACAGGCAGCATCTTCATCACTGAGGAAAGCACGAGGAGGACCAGCAGGACAGGCGTCCTGAGCCAGGCGTGCGC